CTGTGTGAGACGAGATAATCTGCTAGTAAGATGAAGACGTATCGCTCAAGGTTGGGCCTGAAGGGTTTTGATGGTGTTGATTCTATTGGTAATAGTGGAGGTTTGGCACTGTTTTGGCATGAGGATTTGAAAGTGGATGTTAAATTCTCAAATGCCCGTTGTATGGATGTTCATGTACAAGCTGGGCCGGATGAACAACCGTGGAGACTGACTTGTGTGTATGGTGAACCGAGGGTGGAGGATCGGCCTCTCATGTGGTCTTTGATGCAGAACTTGTGTGCCAATTCAGATTTACCATGGCTGGTGGGTTGGGGGGGACTTCAACGAGTGTATGTGGGACTCCGAGCATTTTTCTCTAACCACGAGAGCTCCAGTTCAGATGCAATTATTCCGGGATGCCCTGGAGACGTGTGACTTGGCCGATCTGGGTTTTATTGGGGTTCCGTATACATACGATAACAGGAGAGGCGGGCACGCAAACGTGAAAGTTCGTCTGGATAGGGCGGTTGCAAATCCGGCTTGGAGGAATATTTTCCTTAACACCTTAGTACACCACCTTGCTTCCCCCTGTTCGGATCATGTGCCTGTTCATGTGTGTTGTGGTGATATGGGTGATATGCCAACTAAGCCAAGGCGCAGGCAGTATGAGATTATGTGGGAAAGAGACCCTGCGCTCCAGGACTTGATAGCGAAGGCCTGGCTGGAGGCAGGAGAGAAAGCATCCCTAGGGGACGTGCATGCGGCTTTAAGGGATACTATGAAAACGTTGTGCAAGTGGAGTAAGGAGAACTTTGGTGGTGTAGCGTGGGAAATTGAAAAGTCAAGGACACAGCTTGAGGAACTCATGTTGATGAATGCAGACAGATGTGAGATTCGTAAGGTCACGGATAGAATGAATGAGTTACTCTATAGAGAAGAGTTGATGTGGATGCAACGATCCCGTATTACTTGGCTTAAGGAAGGGGACCGAAATACAATTTTTTTTCAATCAAAGGCTGTGTGGAGAGCTAGAAAGAACCGTATAAAAAAACTTGTAGACACTAGTGGTCGGGTCTTCACG